TTTTTCCAAGAAGTCTACTCGAGAAGTCTATTTTTTTTTGGATTGCAGAAATCAAATAACAAATAGCAATAATATTTTTTTTGTAATTTTTGGATTTTAAATGATGCAAATAAAACAAGACAATATAATTTTTTTTTACTTTTAGATGAAACAAAATATTCAGAAAATAAAGAAAATAATTTTAATGGATTTTAGATTTTTCAAAAAATTCAAATGAAAAGACAAAAATAACAAATCAAGCAAACAATTTTGATTAGTTTTTTTTTTATGAATATGAAATAAAACAAAATAATAAACAAAAAATAAAGATAAATGTTGGATGGATACAACATGGGGGATAGGAGCTTTTGAAGCTCTGATATCAGATGATACGAATCCTCAAAGGTTGAGGCTCGTTTTGGTGAATGATGGAGGCTGAAAGCTGGACTAAACTCACTCTCTTTCAGCCGGTCGGATGGAATATGGTCGAAGCCGAAAGATGGTGAACTGACTGACTCGCTCAGTTGGTGGGATGGCTGACTCACTCAGTCGTTGGAACTATCCTTGCCTGAATCACACAAACAAATATATTCCAAGAATCAGTAGAAACAAAGGAATCTCTCAATTGAATCTAAAGACAAATTGTTTAAACAAAGAAAACTCTTTGAATAAAAAGAACAAAAGTTTTTTATTTTCTTAGATAAAAGTGGTGTCTTACAAATGAAACAACTATGAGCTTATATAGTGCTCAGTTCGTCCTAAACAATAACTCTAAAGAGAGAATTAAGCAAAAAATCAAAGAAAGATCAAAAAGAGAGACTAAAGGGATTTTTGATCCATTTAATGAGAGGTGACCAAAGGCTGAATGAAAGGGATTTGTTGACTTGTATCTTGATATCTTGATGATGAATAATCTCCCCAAGTCTTGCTTATCTCGGATCATGAAGAGAAGTAGCCATTGGTGAGTTATGGAGCCAAGTGTTAATGCTTCCATATATGGTAAGTAGAAGTGTGACATGATCCGCCTGATCATGTGGGTTCTGGTGCATTGGAAGATATTTCCTGACTCTCCTGGATTTTTAGATATGTCTCCTGAATGCTTAGATGTCTCTCCTGGTCGCCAAAGTTTGGTTTGTAAGTGATTAAACTCGCCAGCTCTCAAATAAGGTAAGCAGAGCATCCTCCAGTTTAGAAGTTGAATAACTTTTTAACCATAATGAATTTTGGTATGAAACCAATTTTCCTCGATTCTCTGATGAGTCAAATTTCCAAAACATCTGGTATTGTTGCTTGGTTCGTCTTGGTTTGGCCGAAATAATTTTATTAATAGTCGCATGTCTCCATCGGGTCCATTGAAGATCTTCTAACTTGTATCTTCAATATCTTCTTCATATGAACTCTTTTTTGGGTGATTCTTCTTCGTGCTGGACTCTGGATGAGTTGGGAATGCTCTCCAAGTGTTTTCTGAGTTTGAATGTTTGATATCAACCTCAAATTGAGCTGAAATCCACTCGCATGTCTCCTTAGCTCTCCTCAGCTTCATGTTCTCCACTTCATGACTCCTGGATCCGTGCTCCTTGGCTGATGATGACTTGAGGTCCATATCATCACGGTGGTAATGAGTTGACACAAACCATCTTCTCATAATGCGCTTCATTTCTGACCATGTTTCTATGGGAAACTCGCCACTGCGTCTCCTTGAAGTCACAAGTTGATCCCACCAGCTGAGAGCATAATCGTAAAACTCTGTAGCAGCTACCTTCACTCTGTTGATTTCTGTATAATGTTGACAATCAAAGACCAACTCAATCTTCTATTCCCAGTCCAGATAAGCATCAGCATCATTCTTCCTATGGAATGGAAGAATTTTTATCTTAAGATCTCCTAGATTGGCTTGTAAGAGATCTCTTCCTTCTCTGGCACGTCTGTTCCCCCTTTGACTCCTTTAAGAAGAACCACTGTGATTGCTGTAGTAGCTATCTGCTTTGTCATCTCTAAGATGTCTCCTTTGCTCTCTTTGTGACCTTTCCACTTATGACTGTCTAGCTTCTACACTAGGTTATGATTAACAAATTGGACTATGATGAAGTGAAAGATAAGCCTCATTAAAAACTTTCTTTTGGAAAACTCATTGGAACAAAACCAAAGGTAAGAGAAAAAGAGAACCTATGAATCACTTATCCAATTGTTTAATCACTTAGCTTGTATGGAGACTAAGGACATGTTGATCATGTCTTCATTGTGATTTGTTTAGCTCCAAATGTGTTTAAGTAATCCCCCAATGGCTTGGTTGAATGTCTTGGCTCCAGATCGAGTTATAGGCCCAATTGGCGTCACTAGAGCATCTTCTGCTACAAGCTCTTCCTCAGCTACAAGCTCATCTGGTTCTTGTTCCAAGTCCTTACTGCTATCCATGATCATATCACATATAATTTTGGTCGTTGCAAATTAAGGTGATATTACCATCTAGGGATTACCTCACAAATACAACGATAATCTCTTTCCTTTTATTTTCTCATCTTTCAGTGAAAATCATGTCAAAAATTTGTTTTGTTTCTGAGTTGAGTACGACGAAGATTAATTGCATGATCAGTGTCAAAGTTCTTCGAATTTGGAAACAGCCCAATTTTTTGGGCGATACTTTGAAGATTATTTTTTCTGATGATTGGATACCATCTATTTTGAAAAACCTTACTTTTTTATCTTTGGATATTTTGGATTTTGGTTTATGACGCTTCAGTTTTTCATTTTATACAGGGAACCCATATCTCTGCAATAATCTTGACCGATGAAGTTAAAATTTATAATGACCAGTTGGAGCAAGGTACTTGGTACACTATCTCTACTTTTAAAGTTAAAAAGGTCTCTGGATATGTACGCCCTACTTTCCATCCATTTCGCATACAATATATGTACTGGACAAGATTAATGAAGGTTTGAGATCTATCCTCTAGGTTATATCTTAACTGCCGTCATTTCTACGACATTGAGACTAGATCGTTCGATTTTGGTGATTTAATCGGTATGTATTTAGGTTTTTGTTAGTATATGATATGGATTGTAGAAGGTGATTACATATTAATTGGTCTGAACGTCGTTAGGTAACACTAATTTTGATTGAGTGTTTGATTATATGTGATGGATACGGTTCTAGGGATGGGTGTGCTGGAGGCTTTGAACAATGATGCATATGAAGAGGATTTGTGCTATGTTTGATTCGGGTTGTTTGATGCAATGTGAGGCTGTCTTTTTATTGTGAGACGATTTGATATTATATCATCTAAAGTTTGGTGTATTATGTTCTCATGTATCTTTTATCTAATTAAAATAGAAAAGCGAGTGTTCTCACATTTATTGCTCGAGGCGTCCTCGCCAGGAATTTTGTTGATATGTATTAGCGGAATATGAATGAGGGTATGGTTTCTGTGCTGGGGTTTTAGCCAATTTCAGAAGGTAAAGATAGTAGTTATTTTCTTTATTTATATTATATATATATATATTTTTTTTTTTCATCTTTTACGATTTAGTTAATTGTATAGTTTTTCCTTTTCAGGTATTGACAAAAATACTATCGTGTTGAGTTCCCAACATTTGTATTCTGAGTTTTTTTTTTATTCAGTGGATAAAAACGTTGATGAGATCAAAAATATATAAATTATTATTACGTTTTATTTATTCAGTTCTTATTGATTAACATATGTTATTATAAATATTAATCATATTATTAAATACCAATAAAATTTGCACAAGGCACAAATTCAAACCTAGCACAATACTAAGATGATTAAAAAGATAAAAAAAAAATCAACCATTCTGATGTTTTTGAATATTTTTGGAGTCCGATTTTTTGATTGGGTCATTAAGACAAAGTTTCTATCGCGGTGTATGGAAGGTGGAGGTACAAGAAATGATAAGGGTATTTCTCTGGTTAGTCGAAAATCAAACGATTATGACGAATGCCGAGAGACGGAGGAGACATTTATGTGATTCGAATATCTGTCAGATATGCAAAGGAGGAGTAGAAATTATTATCGATATTCTTTGAGATTGTCCATCAATGATAAGGATTTGGAATGGATGTATGAGAACTTAGGGGAGGGAGGTGTAGTTGACGGGTCCCCTTGGTCGATAACTTTCGTTATGGTTGTATGGTATACGGTAGAAATGGAGGTGTGGGAATGTCTTTGGAGAGAATAGAAAGTGCCGGGACAGGGTATGTTTTATTAAGGACTTAGCCAGAGAAGTGGCAGTGGCAAGAGTGGCAAACCGAGAAAAGTCGAGAGCAAAAAATTGCGTGGAGAGATTGATAAGCTGGGTTGCTCCATCCGTGGGATGGCTAAAACTGAACAGTGATGGAGCCTCTCGTGGCAATCCGGGCTTAGCTACGGTAGGTGGGGTACTACGGGATAGCAATGGGAGTTGGTATGAAAGTTTCACCTTGAACATAGGAAGGTGCTCGGCTCTTTTGGCAGAATTGTTGGAGGGGGGGGGTAGGTGTACTTTAGATTATGCATAGCATGGGAGAAGAGGCCTTTGAGGCTAGAGGTTGAAGTGGACTCAGAAATGATGGTAGGTTTTTTCACCAAAGAGATTAGTTAGTGGCATTCCTTATCGTTCCTAGTACAGTTGTGCCACGACTGTACTTTAAAGGACTGGACAATCCAAATTTCGCATGTGTTTAGAGAAATGAACAGGCTTGCAGATGAATTAGCTAATCATGCTTTCTTTTTTCTTTTGGGTTTTCGTGCTTTGGTGTCGGTTCCTCTGAGTTTAGACTCAGTTTTGAGGGAGGATATGTCTGGATCTCCCCATCGGAAGAGAGAGTGTGTAGTTGATTTTCATGTTATGACTCCCGCCCCATTCACCAAAAAAAAAAAAAATGAAAGGGTAACAAACATGTAAAAAAGAAAAAAAAATCAGGGTCTCGCTTCTCTTCATCTGCTTCAAGTACTTTCCATCGAGCCTTCCACAAATTAAAGAAACCCAGCCCGTCTCTTTTCTCTTTTACTACCTCTCTTTTTATGCGCTTCCTCTTCTCCACACGCCTTCTCAATAACTCGCTTGATCTTCTCCGATCGCCACGCGCCGCTGCGCCGATCCGTTCTCTCTCTTTTGACAGCAAGTGCCTAGTCTTCCGATCGGCGACTAATCCAATGGCGGTAGCCGCCTTTTCTTCGGCGATGGCTATTCCTCCTAACATCTCCGTTAACCACTCGGAAGAAGCTCTGCCGGGAAGGCTGTGGATCAAGTTTAACAGAGAGGGCCTCTTCTCTATCTACAGCCCCTTCGCCGTCTCTTTGGCCGCCGGAAATCTCAAGATCGAGACATTCCGCCACTATATATCACAAGATTTTCATTTCCTTAAGGCCTTTGCTCACGCGTGAGTTCTCTATCTTCTTAGGCTACTGTACTTAGTTTCTCTGTGAAATTGCTTCGAAGTTGGTGAGTTTATATATGGATAATTATAATGTTGATCCTTTAGAACTTAAAGTGAAGATGAATACATATAGATCATGTTAAAGATTGAAGGTTTTAAAATCAGGGTTAGAAATGGTCGTTGAAAGAATGGATCTGGATCAATTGTTAGAATCAAAAGCTATGACATGTAAGAGAAAAAATCACATATGGAATATGTGTTTGATGTTTTTGTCGTCCATTATTTGCTTTGCTAACCACAAACGTAGTGGAAAATGTCGATTTTAGTTAATCAAGAATTGTTACTTTTACGGTTTGTAAAGTTTTTGTTGCTAATATAAAGTTTAGAAGATCGACTCTTAAGTATGGTGGTCCGTAGATAAGTTTTTTTATCGGTATGCATTTGGAATTAGATTTCCCTGGATAAATGTATGGCAAAGTCTTTACGAAACAAAGTACATCATGATTAGTTTATCTAATATGATCCCTCTTTGATCTTTAACCTTACAAGCTAACACATGAATAGACTGGATCCGATGGTGATGAATAGATATGAATGACTTGATGGAATTTGATTCGGTTTGGGGGAAAAGAGTGAAAGAGTGAATGGTGGAAGTAGACAGGCGATGCAGATGGCTCTTGTATACAATACAACTGAATGAAGCAAATGATATGAGGCACCAATGATTCAAACAGGTTTTGTCATGGATATTACACACCGTGAGAGTTGATCTATTTTGTAAGAGATTTTATTCAAAAGATAGATGAAAACTAGAACTCTTCTCTCGTACATGGTTTTAAGGAGAGGAGAGGACACGGACTACTACAAGCATTATGTTAGTCTCGGGACAAACCCCCTTCACTAGCCTTGTAAAGACTTAGTTCAAAAACGGCTAAGTACAAACTGACTCTAGACCTTCCAAAACCCCCTAAGGGAAAAAGAGCACAAAATGTCCCACAAACCCATTAACTTAGTCATTGGCTTTTATAACAAACCATCACGGTTAGTTTAGCCTTCTCATTACATCATTCATACTTAGACTGATTAAGTAGAATTTCTAAGGCATTTTGAAATGCCTTAGTCTTAGAACGGATCATGGGACCTTTTAATACTTCTAGATCCTCTTCTTTATCTTCAAGCTTAGTCTTCTCTTGTTTCTCCTCGGCTACAAGCTTATACTCTAAGTTAGAGTCTTCCATGATCATATCATTATCTATGTGTAAATGCATTTTATCTGGTCTTCTAATTTCTGAAGAGTTATATGTTCCCTTGGAATGTTTTTAGCGTTAATTACCTTACCTTCCCCGGACACATGATAGGATTCTTATTCATCAATAGATTCGACTTGGAGGTCTTGGACTCTCATTTTGTGCCGGTTAAGAACCAAATGAAGTTGGTTGCGGGTCAAGTTGATTTATATTCTTCTTATTGCATTAGGAAAAGTTGACGTTATTGTTTTGGTTTTAGCAGTTTGTCAAATGATTTGATTTTGCTACAATAAAATGTGAGTTTTTTTTTATTTTTGATTATCACTGATAAAGATATGAAGAGATGGTTAAATATTGAATAATATTAAACCTCGCCAAACCTTCCAATGAATGGCTTTCATAGTTTTTCTTGTTTTCTTTATTAATCTAGTTTTGTTCTGCAATTTAGGTATGAATTGGCCGCAGAGTGTGCTGATGATGATGATGATAAGTTGGCAATTTCTGCCTTGAGGAAAAGCGTGATGGAGGAATTGAAAATGCACGACTCCTTTGTACAGGTAGAGCATAAGGTCTTTTCTGTATGTTTTACATGCTCATTTATTTCATATCAACAGGATGGAACATTAGTTCATGTATCTAACTTGATAAACCCTGTTCGTTGCTTGGATTCGAAAAAACCTTCACATCATGGCAGAACAGAAAACACTGCAATTAATTTACTTTCTTTTCATCTCCCAAATTCCTTTCTCGTGAGAATATATTTCAGGTAAATCTCTGAAATGGAAGCTAAAGTATTCTATATCTAACTATTGTGGAGGCCTCAATATATGATTAGTTTTTTTTTACTAGTTATTGGAGGATGGTTCGACAGATCTTCTCATTATGCATCTGGCATAAGTCACTAATTGGTTGATTTGCATTTTTGAGATACAGGCTAAATATTTTTAAAAATGCTTATCCATCAGCCAAATTTAGTGAATTAGTTATTTTAAGCGTTTTGGTCCTGAATCCAAGCTTTATTAGTGAAAGAATCACTTAATTTTACTGTTGAAGCTATTGCTTTTGCATGCAGCTTCAAAATTATGAATATATCATGAAAAATTGGTGCTACTGAGCTACAAAGTTATGAATATATCATGCAAACTGGTGCTACTTAGCTTCAAAGTTATGAAAAAAAAGATTGTGCTCTAGTTTTCTCTCAGCTTTGTTATATGGTTCCATAGGCATAAAGTGGCCCGGAGAAGATCAGTATTACGATTTCCTGATCAAATGATATTCTCAGTAAACCATTTGTCTGATCCTTGCAGGATTGGGATTTAGATATTAACAAAGAAGTAAGCGTTAACTCAGCAACTTTGAGATATACCGAGTTCTTGTTAGCTACAGCATCCGGAAAAGTAGAAGGACTCAAAGCTCCCGGCATGCTTGATACTCCATTTGAAAAAACGAAAGTTGCCGCCTACACGCTTGGTGCTGTGACACCTTGCATGAAGCTGTATGCCTTTCTTGGTAAGGAGTTTGGAGCACTTCTAGATCCGAGTGATGTGAACCATCCCTATAAGAAATGGGTCGATAATTATTCTAGTGATGCATTTCAGGTATGTAATATTTGTATGTTTCTGACTATTTCTGTTAACACTCAAAGGTTTCAAGTGCGTTGTCTGAGATGATGCATCTTGTACAATGACTTGTCTGTTTTCCCTTTATATAGGTATCTGCCAAGCAAACTGAAGACTTGCTCGAGAAGCTTAGTGTCTCTATGACGGGCGAAGAACTGGACATCATCGAAAAATTGTATCAACAGGCTATGAAACTTGAAGTAGAGTTCTTCCATGCCCAACCGCTAACTCAACCCACCATAGTTCCACTGCTCAAGAACCACTCAAAAAATGACCTCGTGATATTTTCTGATTTCGATCTTACTTGCACCGTTGTTGATTCTTCTGCAATTTTAGCTGAAATCGCAATTGTAACTGCCCCCAAAGATGAGCAGAGTCAATCTGGGCAACAATTTCATCGGATGCTGTCAGCTGACCTTAAGAACACCTGGAGTCTACTTTCTAGGCAATATACAGAGCATTATGAAGAGTGCATAGAGAATATTCTGAATAAAGAAAAAGGTCAGACTCGTGTACTTTCTCTATCCCAGTTTCTAAGGCTACTAATCTAATTGGCTTTTATAAAGTGGTTGATACTTTTTGCTTGATTTTTCTTTTAATGTGGAATATTTGTTCTTCCAATTTTATGCAGCGGACAAGTTTGACTACGAGGGTTTATGTAAAGCACTAGAGCAACACTCAGAATTTGAGAAAAACGCAAACAATCGAGTGATCGAGTCTGGTGTACTCAAGGGGCTGAATCTCGAAGACATTAAGCGAGCTGGGGAAAGGTTAATTCTTCAAGATGGCTGCATCAATGTCTTCCAGAAAATTTTAGAGACTGAGAATCTGAATGCAAAAGTCCACGTGCTTTCGTATTGTTGGTGTGGTGACCTCATCAGGGCAGCCTTTTCTGCACGTACATGCTATAATCTTTAATTTTATGATTTTTGCTGACTTTTTATAATTTAAGAAACTATGCTAAGACAATCTCTTCTTTACAGGCGGAATAGATGCAGTCGAAGTACATGCAAATGAATTCACATTCGAGGAATCCATCTCAACTGGTCAAATCGAAAGGAAAGTGGAATCACCGATCGACAAGGCTCAACAGTTCAAAAGCATCTTACAAAACAGAAAGGACCATGATAAGGACAAAAGCCTCCTTACTGTGTATATTGGAGATTCAGTAGGTGACATGCTATGTCTCCTCGAAGCAGACATAGGAATAGTGGTTGGCTCTAGCTCGAGCCTCAGGAGAGTGGGAACTCATTTTGGGGTCTCGTTTGTGCCTTTGTTGGCTGGAATCGTCCAGAAACAGAAGCAACACACTCAAGAAGTATCATCATCAACCTGGAAGGGACTCTCTGGCACACTTTACACGGTTTCAAGTTGGGCCGAATTTCATTCATTCGCTCTTGGATGGGAGTAACCGGTAGAAAATTATATGAAAATTGTATATACTGCCGGGTGGCCAGTTTTATCAGGAGCCACATGAATTTTGGTCTTTCGCTTTCTAAGTGTTACCAATGGCGATAATGGTCTCTGGTTACTCTCGTCTAGCACTTCATGTCTATGAGCTTCTGTTGCTCTTTGTCATGATCTCTTATTGTGGTTTTTAAAAGAAAATTGTGATGCCGATATGATGTTTGATGTTTGGACTTGAACGTATACAATCAAAACATTTAAAAAATTGTGATAAAATAAATGATTATCCATTTATCTATTTTAACATGATTGATTCCCGCTGATATTATTATATCATTAACTTAACATGATTGATTTTCACTAATATTACATCATCAACTTATTTATACAATACAACATGCATCATCAACTTACTACCATACAAAGGAATAATTTCTTTTTGTTAAAAAAATATAATTATTCATTATATTTGATGATTACTTGTTCCCTATCTATAAAATAGATGCTTTATAATATTGTTTATAATGTCAGTTTTATTATGAATGAAACAAATTAATAAAATCACTTTTATACAGTTTCTACTCCCTCTCTAAATATGGGATAATCTCTCAAATCGTTATATTTCCTTAATATATATACCAATTAATACCATAGTTTATTATACATAAAAAGTAATATTTAGAATACGTTATCAGCACATATCGCCTTTCGATCCACATTTATATATCTGTTTATGTTTTTAATATTTAGTAATCATATAAAGTTTAGCAAAGTTCGAGATCGTCATTCTTGATCTACGAAAAAAGAATTATTTGTATTGAGCGATAAGTGCAAATTTGCATCAAAGACAAAATGATATCTTAAGCACTTTCAATGAGTTGGAAATGACATGACGACATCGGATGAGAAAAAAGCGAAAGTCATGATATTTTTGCGCCTCCACATTTATAATGATTTGTGAAATAGATATATTATGAGAAAAGATCTCTAGAAATGAATTAAATTCAGAAATGAGAAGTGAAAATATTTCATTGGATATGGCGGTTTATTTTTTTAAGCAGACTCTAAATCACACCCTGAATATAACTGATTCAAAAGCAAAAATCAAATTCAAGATAAATGGGCCAGAAAAACTCTCATCTTGAAATGGGGTATTAAAAGCCTCACATCAAAAGGATTGGATACATAGTACATGATCCAAAATGGGTAATTAGAAATGTTATTGATCCTTGGATACATAGTACATGACCCAAAATAGGTAATTCAAAATGTTACTAGTCCTAAAGTGAGATTCAGTTCGAGATGGATGGACATGAAATGTTATCATCTCGAGGGGGAGAACTAAAGAATCCCAGTAAGTTAAACATCCATAAGATATTCACACACAAAATAAACTTGATAATTCTACAATATTACCAAGTTAAGAATGGTGAGCCTGCTCGATACTTGAAGACACATGACGTACCAAGCACAAACACCGACCAGGGCACCTTTCATGGTCTGCTTGATGCGTCTTGAATCAAGTCGCCAGTCAAAGAACCTGACGAGCCAAGCGTCCTGTTCAGTATTTTCAAATGCACCGAGCACATAATCCAACCAATTCCTTTTTTGCTCTACACGGTGCAGCCATTCTGAGAGTTTAACTATTTCATTGACTTGGTTTTATTTTCGTTGACCAAGCCTATTTTGGGGATCTCTTATAAATAGGCTTGGCCTAAAAACCTCTCTTTATGCAAGTTTTATTATTATCACATAAAAACTCTCTCTTTTTGTTTTTCCTTCAAGAACAAGTTATGATCTTTCGTAATTTTAATAAAGTTGTGTACTTGTCTTAATTCGTTTATTACCACCTAATCATAGTTAGCCATAATCTTATGGTTCTAAGCATGGTTAGTGAGTAGTTTTCTTGTGTTTTAAGATGGGGTAGTTTAAGATGATTTGATGATTGATTTTTGATGTCTTGTGTTTAATTATTTCATATCCTTCATTGTTCTATTTTGTGAATTTCACAACTGCAATTGATTGGTTTAAGTTTTACGCTGTGCTGTAGCTAAACAACTTCTGCATCTTCATGAAGGATTATACTTCAATGAAATGATTTTAAACTTAAGGAATTGAGTCACAAACCATAAAAAGTCTATTATCAATTGTTCTCACAAATATATGTTTCGTAACATTTTTTAGAATGTAAGTTTTATTATGAATAAAACAAGTTTATAAAATCACTTTCACACAATTTATACTTCCTCTTTCAATATAAGCTAATCTCTCTAATTGTTTTATCTCTTTAATATATATACCAATCAACACCATAGTTCATCACACATATTCATTACACATAAAAGAGTATTATTTTACAACACTTTTATAATTGTACAACATACATGAGTAAATAAAAAATAAGAAAGTTACTTTTTCCTCTCATTTCATCTTCGCCATCTCTCGTATATACATCATATTATATTATATGTATATGATATACATATCCAAATGCAAATACATCTCACCTATATAATGAATAATTTAACATATGTTATCATTATGATTATATCTCTATATCACAATTGTATGATTTTTTGGTGATTTATTTTCAAGTTTATTATATATGATAATATAAAGTCTGCCTTCTCTGTTTATATATTGTTCTAGAGTGATAAGTATTGTCTTCTCCGATCGGTCATTATAGTAAGCTATATCTTCACGATCATATAATCATATGGTAAACTATATATGGTCATAGCATATTTATAGAGTCAGAGGTTATCCTCCATCCTGATTTATTAATTTTTGGAGTATAGGTTAAAACCTCATCCCTGTTTATTATATTAAGGAATGGAAGTTTTAAAACTGTTGCAGAATTGTATAAAAGACTCTGCCTCTATTTAGTTCTTTCAACTATTGTCTTAAATCCTGCATGTTTAGATATTTTAATGTTTGCATAAACTGATTTTCAAAAAATTATACTGGTTAAGTGTTTGTTGTTTATTTATAATGTCAAATCTGCCAAAGCTCGAGATTGCCGCCATTGACTCATGTGGATATAGTTTAATGTCTTGCACGGTTGGTGCAAGATTGCATCTAAAGAAAAATGATCTCTTGAGCACTATCGATAAGTCGAAGACAATGTGTGATGAGGCTAATACAAAAGCTATGGTATTTTTATGCCACCATATATCCATAGTGATTTAAAAGATGAATTTTATAACGAAATAATATCTTGCAGATCTTTGGCTATCACTTAAAAGTCGGTCTGATCACAAAAAGTATGTGATCTTACCAAAAATAAGACACGAATGGTTGAATCTTCGGTTCCAGGATTACAGAAATATAACTGAATATAATTCTGCAATGTTCGTAATTACCTGCTTAATATTGTTGTGAAGAGAATATATGTGAATATGATATCTAAGAGAAAACTCTCTTCATTTCATCATGCAAAATATAATCCTGCAGCAGAAATGCCAGACAAGAGAATCATCCAACTAGAGTCAACTCGTTATGTTGTACCATCAGAATCATCCAACTAGATCATTCTCTGAAGCAAATGTTGCGTCATCCAGTTAAAGTTATAAGAAGCCACGACGTGAAGTAGGCAAGGTAGAGGCCACGGTCATGATCGCATTTGAGGGCATGGACGAGGAAGAAAAAGTGACGATGGTCGGGATGTTAAAGACAAGGTGACAGCCCTTGCTTCAGATGCGGCATGAAAGGACACTGGATACGCATGTGTCATACGCTAAAAAATTTAGTCGTGTGCATGCAGAATCATAAAAGACTAAAAATTGATAGTAAGACCAATTTCATCTCGAATGGGGCTGGAACTTCCCTTGACGCAGTCAGAAAACCCTAGGATTATCAAGCACTAAACCTAGATTGAATTCAAGTACACAAACGATGAACTTAAAGAGAAAAAACTCTGGAATCCACCAGAAAAGATAAAAGCTTTCAAAACTCTCAAAGTTTGACTAATGAATAATAAGATATTTCAAAAATTACATGGAATCTTTCTATTTATGGAAAAAAAATCCAAACATAAAAAGGAAAATATCAAAAATAAAGGAAAAACTACCAAAAAGGAAAAAGTATATAACATAATTAAGAAAATAAATAATTAATAAATTTTTCCTTGTGCATCAGACTCCTCCACTTGTGCAGAACTCAACCTCGAGTTTTTTTCTGGATAAAAATCCTCATTTGCATAGTACTCATGGATGTCAGCCACATTGAAGGTATTAGAAATACTCATGTCCTCTGGATGAGCCACAACGTAAGCATTATTATTGATCTTTCGCGATATCTTGAATGGACCATATTTGCGAGGTTGAAACTTGCTATATGTGTTAACTGGGAACCTTTATTTCTGAAATAACACCATCACCTTTTTTTGAAAACTTTGTCTCTCCTGTGCATGTCTGCAGCAACCTTCTTCTTTTAACCAGTAGCCTCTAACTTAGCCTTGCTAACTTTCCTAGTAGCTACAATCTCTTTAGCCATAGCCTCAGCAGATGCACTAACTCCAGGACCCTTAGGAAACTTAATCAAATCAACCACATGTGACACAAGATCAAGGGAAAAATATGTCATTTTGGGCTGGTGGTTGTTCAACTGTTTTGGGATGATTGATGGATGACTTGTGAGTAGAAATGGACGAGTATGTGATTAATAAATGGTTGTTCAACTCTTTTCAAATGATCAATGGATGGATATGAATGAGTAACAAAGATGGATCGAAGCCGCCACAAACTTTTGTGAATCTAAACTTTGATGAGACAAACAAACTCTCTAAACAATAAAACGCTCAAGTGTTAAAGAATTTAGGGGGTAGTTTCTTTGCAAGAAAACTTGGTTGTTTTTATTTCACCAAGGGTTAAAAATACAAGGATGTTAGAGGGGACATTATAAGTAGTCTGAACAACTATGCCCTTTTTGGGGTCTTTGAAACAAATTACATTAAAGAAAACAAAAATTATTGAAGCATAAAATAAGTAATACTGCTAAACATAT